TCAGCATTCTAGCAAAGCAGAGGAAACTTAAAAATATAGTTGTGTTTCTATATTCAAGGTAGGGATTGGCAACTTTTTCTGTAAAGGTTCAGAGAGCAAATATTTTAGGCTTTGTGTGCTACATGGTCTCTATCACAAATCCTCAGCTCTGCTGTTGTTACAGGAAGTAGCAATAGGCAATATATAGACAAGTAGGTATGGCTGAGTTCTAATAAAACTTTATTTGTAACATACACAGCAGGCCAGATTTGACCTATGAGCTGTAGTTGGCTAACATTTTCTTATGAATACTGGGTACATGAGCATACTGCATATGCATATGTGTCTGTATATGTAAGTGGGGGTATAGATACATATATTAACATGTGAAATCTCCATTTGCCCATTCCTGTCATCATGGCAGTTTCTTGGGCACATGATCAGTGCAGTCACACATGTGCTGTTTAGAAGGGCCCTTATACTTGCAGTTTCAGACTCTATGACCGATGTCTTGACATGATGAGCAATTTTATCTTAGAATTGTGTTTTGTGGTGCACTCTGATGGGACAATGGAGACTGAACTCCTCTATGTGGTCTCATCTTTCCACTGCCTCACTGCAGCCCTGCTGCTGTTCCTGCCCTCCACCCAGGGTGGACCAGGGCATGTCACTGGAAGAGGTGTGTATCTTTTGCCCCTGGCAGGATCCTGAATGTGTGTTTAGAGAGGACTGAATCAAGTGTGCCCATCCCTGGCATCTTAGAGCAGGACAAGGAGGTAGTAATTCCTGCCCCACGCTGGCAGCACCACAGCGCACTCAGGAGATTCCACTCCGAGCCTCTTCCCCACCCCTGATGCAGACAGCAGACAGGTTCCAGTATGGAGACTGCCATCTCCCAGGGGTCACCTGTCTGACCTCCTTGGGGTGGGGGAGAATGACCTCCCTGCTCCATGCTGGGGCATGGTGTAGGTTCTGTGGCTAGAAGAAGGAAGAATCCAGAAGCTCATGGGGCAACTGTGGGGTCTGCACTCCCCCATGAGTATCATCTGTATGCTGGAAGAAGCCTAACATCAAATAGCAAATAAAATATGGCATGTCCAATCTGGGTTGGTGAGGGAGGAGGGGCAAGGAGAGAGAGACTGAAGAAGAAAGAAAAGCGTTTTATATTTTGGTTCTCTTTAATGCCACTTCTTTCCTGCTTTCTGAACAAAATGGTCCTGTATTTTCACTTTGCACTGGGCCCTAAACAAAGGTTGGAGGCTGTAAAGAATCATCTTCTGGCCGGGCGCGGTGGCTCAAGCCTGTAATCCCAGCACTTTGGGAGGCCGAGGCGGGTGGATCACGAGGTCGAGAGATCGAGACCATCCTGGTCAACATGGTGAAACCCCGTCTCTACTAAAAATACAAAAAAATTAGCTGGGCATGGTGGCGCGTGCCTGTAATCCCAGCTACTCAGGAGGATGAGGCAGGAGAATTGCCTGAACCCAGGAGGCGGAGGTTGCGGTGAGCCGAGATCGCGCCATTGCACTCCAGCCTGGGTCACAAGAGTGAAACTCCGCCTCAAAAAAAAAAAAAAAAAAAGAATCATCTTCTGAGATTCATTTACCGAAACGGAAGTGGACAAAAAAATTCTATCTATACATCACTCATTTCCGGTCAGCTACTCCTTGCAATGTTAGAGTTTCCTGTGACATTCCTAAATCTTAAATACAAGGCTCTGAAATTGATTATGTATTTTGGGTTTCAGATTCTCTGAAGCTCCTTTTGGGATATGATTATCAGGAATGCTGCATGGTAGCCACTCCCTCAAACAGTTCACTGCAGGAGTAGTTTACACTTCTTTAGAATGATGATGAAGCATTTTATAAAAATAAACCACCATCAAAACATTATATACAAAATTTAACAGACAACAACAAAGAAAGATGAAATTTTACTAAGAGTTTCTATTTATTTCCTATTAAAAAGGGCAATAACAGATCATTCTAACATACAAAAACATACTTGTTTTCCTAATTTGAATGAACCAACTGTAAAGCAAACATTTTTTGAGACAAATAAATGTGAATATAGGCTGGGTATAATTTGATATTAAAGAATTATTGTTAACATCATTAGGTATAATGACACAGTGTGTAAAAATATCCTTCATAGACACACATGGGTATTTATGAGTAAAATAACATAATGTCTGAGATCCATTTAAAATACTTCTCAAAAGAAGAAAAAGAGTAGAGGAAGATGACAGAAGAGAAGACGAAGAAGCTGAAGAGAAGAAAGTGGAGCAGAAAAAAACATGACAAAGAAGATGAAGGTAACAATGAGGAGAGAAGTTGAGAGAAAAAAAGTGAGATCGATGGAATAGGATTGTGGAAGAGGACTGGCAAAATGATGAGTGTAAGTGATGGAAATGTGAAGATTCATTATAATATTCCCTTTACCTTCATATATGTTTTTAAATTCCCCTGATGAAGTGTGTGTGTGTGTGTAACCACTGCCTAAAAAATTTTCTAATAAAAATCAAAGTGCGTATTTCACATTCTCCTCCATACCAAATGCCTTTTTTTCTGGTGCAAGAAGCATCCTCGGAGGCTGACAGGAATTCTCTAAGCTGAAGAGATACAAAGGAGTTGATGGGAAGGATAATCCGCCCATCGGTTCTTGACACAATGTAAAGAAGAAAAGAAGAAAGTGGGTGGAAGAGACTGCCATTGTTACTCTCCTGACCTCTCCTTCTAATTATGCCAGAGTCAAGGCTCAGGTCACAAGGAAAATTATCTTGGTGGTCAACCATTTGCCCTATTTTGTATACATCAAAAAAGCTCTTGTTCTCACACATTCCAATCTCACAGTTTCCCACCTACTTTAAAAACGTATCAAGCGGTCAGATTCACTAAAATATGTATAAAATGACTACAGTATGAAGAACACCTGGCTTGCAAACCTACAGATAGTCTTCTTGTGATGCTGACTTGTAAGATACACAACACTTAAAAATTTAATATACTTTTTATCATTATAAGTATTTCAGATGAATGTTCAACATGCCCGGCTTTTAAAAGTTAAATGTAAATGTCTCTCTTGAGTGCAGATGGTGGCCAAGCAAAGTAGTTCTTTGGTCTTACAGACAGAAGGTCAGGTCATGGCTGAAAGACCAAAGAACAATTGCTGCTTTGCTACTCCAAATCATCCATGGAATGAGACACCACTACTTTCTTTTCTGAAACTGTCTGCTCAATACAAAATAGTTAAAAAGAGTACCTATAAGATTTCCTCACATTCTGTCCAGGAAAAAGACATGGTAACAAGCACATCACATCACAAACATCTTGTAACTGTTGAGAGGTTTTATCCCTAAAGCTGTGACCTCCTAAAAAGGCACATCTCTATCTTAAAACATATCATTGTAAGTCATTATGAAAACTACGGTTGCTTCACTATTATCAGAAAATGTTTACAAATGAAAAGTGCTCCTTATAAAATCCTGCAACTTTAGCCTTCATACCATCATGGGTTAACTAAAATGAGATTTAATACTGCAAATACTCCTAATACGGCGAATGCTTCTAAACAAGTTATTCACCTACAAGTGATGTTATACTTTTATTGTTCCTGGTTTCTTTTCCTCTAGAACATTATAATGAAATTTTAAATACCTCGGAGACTCTTTCCTGATGTATTTTTCCAGTTAATCCAAAATATTATGCTTACAGAGTGCTGTAGAATAATACAAAAGGCATATGATAATGCCAGTCAGTATGCCAATATGATTCCTTTTTTAAAAAATTACAGTACATCAGGAAAGAAAAGTTATCTGTGATAAACTTAGTAGACGAGGCCTTCAGTCCCTGAGAGAAAGCGTTTTCCATTCCACTATCAGGCACGCCCCCAACTGGATGAAATAAAGTAAGCTTCATTATCTGCACATGTTAATAATGAAAAGTCTTCAGAAAATTTAAAACCCATTACACCACCAAATATAGTGGTGCAAAAGCAGAATTTTAGTTTGGTTGCCAGGATTTTAATTTAGCACTAAGGATTTCAGTTAAGACTTGAAAAGCTTTTTGTACTAAACTTCATTATCACTTTCATTTTCAATACTTTTCCCAATTGTCTTTGCGTCATTTGTCATAAAGAGTTAATTGGCTCAAAAGAGGAAATATGTTGGAAAATATGATGAAAAACCTCGAACTAGAAACATATTTTTTAAAAAAATTTACTTGGAGTGACCTAATTCTAAATTCTAAAACAATTCCTTTAAAATACTGACACGAAGAACCCAGTCTTACTATTTTAATTGAATAAACAACGTACTTTTTTGAATATAATGAAAATCTTCAAAGTACTGTACTGTAACATAAAAATAGAAAATCAAAAGTCAGCCTATTAGAACGGCCTCTCTAAAAACTTCATCCCTGTTGTCAACTAAAATTGGAGTATCTATTTCACCTCAACAAAGATATAACATAAAACATCTGTTCAAAACAGAAATTGAAGTACGCAGCTTTGATTCCCTAACATTTCTAATGTCACTGTATTTAGGCTTCGTGAACAAACGTATTCATGGTTATCTTAGCTAAAACTGGTTTCACTCTGCCAACAATCAATTTGATTGACATATTTACATATCAACTCATCTCATCTTACGAATTTTAAACTTTTTCATTTAAAATTGGATTCAAGTTGGCATCTTTCAAGAACTTTATGTATGTATATTTTAGGTTCAAACTGTGCATTAGAACATTTCTTTTTACTTTTGTAAGTAATAGATACACATAACCAAATGTATATTTATGACCTGTCAGATTGGAATTTTATATGCATGCTGTTGTATTCTCACCATTTCATGTGAAAGGTGATAATTTTAGGCAACTATAAAAGAAATTTTCTTAACAGTATAAACTGGATCATCCATTAGTTAGAAATAATACGAATAAATAACAGGAATAAAACAACATCAACTTGAGAAAGAATGCTACTTATGTCTATAATTGCTGCAATTATGATGTGTCCTCTCTTACCTGATCTTTAATTTCAAGATCCCTGTTAGTTTTTGCTCTGTACTCTCTGTGCTCCTTTTCTGCCTCGTCTTTCTCCATGTTGGTTTTATTCAGCCGATAGCGCATTTCTCCACACACCTGTTAGATTGTAGAAACTGGATGATTACCTGCTGGAATCTACCAGGCAATGCCTGCAAATAAATCTTTTGGTGCCCCCTAGAGGTCATATAGATAAAACACAACAAAACTTTTCTAAGAATGCTATTTTCTGCTAGAATATTCAAAAGTAGCCTGTTAAGATTCAGACGCAACATCAGGGATTATTGATTTTAACAATTTCAAAGTACAGATAAATAAATGCATATAAGGAATTTAAGTAATGTGCCCAAGATTATTTTATATAAAATAACAGTTTCAATTGCATATTATCAACCAAAATGCACTATCATCTAACTTTTTAAATAGGCAAAGTTAGTAGTTAAAATGTTAAGCTATGTTATTATTCATTCACATGGTTATGGTTAAATATTCACTCTATATTATAAAGTTTTTTTAAAAAGACTTCATGACTTATGCCCTTTAAAAAGAAAATGTATAAAGAAATTTTTCTCTGCTAACAAGACATGCTATTGACATTTATATCTGTAGTATCCAGTATTTACTGGAAGGTTTGCAGATAATGTCATCTTTTCATACACAATCCCAGGTATTCAAGTCAAGGAAGATTTTTCTGGCAAAAAAACATAGACTGGAACTAAGCACACTATACACTTACAACTGTAACATTCAATATAAAAGAAAAATATGCTTTTAAATGAAACAATTGTAATATAGCATCAATAAAGAACATACAGAGCATCTTAAAAGCATTGCATATTATCCTTTATACTTGACACTAAGAACTTTGTTTTATTTATTTTTTCCAGTCTAGGGCTGCTACAGACACAGACATATATTTGAAAAGTGTAATTAGTAGATAAATCTGAACAAGAAAAGTATGGGCCTTTCAAGATAACTGAGAACCTATAGAGAGTTCAATTAATGTACAAGTCTGCTAAGTTTGATTCTAATTTACAAATGTATGGTTCTTAAAAATAATATATTAACCAATGGTTATGCTTTCTTGAAACTTTTCAATTTTGATATTTCTCCAAAAATGATGATTTTGGAAACTTCATAGGTCAGTTTCATCATTACTGAGGTATTAGAATATACTACGGTATAAAACCTATATGCATTTAAGCTGGGCATGGTAGCACATGCCTGTAGTCCCAGTACCTCTGGAAGCTGAAGCGGAAGGGTGGCTTGAGCCCAGGCGTTCAGGACTGTGGAGTGCTGTGCTAGTGCCTGTGAATAGCTACTGCACTCCAGCCAGCACCACACAATAAGATCCTGTCTCCAAACAAATAAAACAGAACCTAAAAAGTAATTTGAAAAATAATCTACATTTAAAAGCTCTAGTGACAACACAGGAGAAAAAGCCAGTAGGCTTCCTTCACCCCAGTGGCCCTCAGAAAGCTACGACAATAATGAGGTTATTAAAAATTCTACTGTAAATTCAAATGGCTTCAGTGTGTGAGAGTTTACTCTTTCCATTTCAAAAATTATAAATTTATAAAAGCTACTAATTTTAAACCTAAATAAAGTTAAAAATTCAGAGTGACAGGAAAGAAATTAGAGGTGTCATACTTTATTTTCTCTCCCAATTCTTCAATAGTCCTATGTATATCTAGGAATAAAATGGAATAAGACCCCCAGCTGATAACATCAGAAGACCACAATTATACAACTATGATGTTTAAAACCCAACACCAGTATGAACTTATTATGTTAAAGATGTTTAAGCCTCAGGTCTTATTTAAAATTATTTCACCCCTTAATTTTACTCCTAAAGTTCCCTGCTTTCCTACTTTCAGCTCAGCATTTGCTAAGTTTGTCCGCAACACTCAAATTCTATTTAATATTAAATTAACACATTAAATTGAACTAGAACTATATTATCTTCACGGTGGAAACAACTTCAAGGCAATTTAGTCTAATCACTCTTCTGATGCATAAGTCCTTTCAGATAGTTCTTGAGACAGAGAACGCTCTTTGCTGTACCACATTTCAACAGAAAGTTGTCTCTCTGTTATCAACTGAAAATTGTCTTATCATAGCTTCACCCACAAATCTAGGTTAAGCATTTCTATCCTTATGAACCAATTTCTTCACTTCCACCCCATCTCCACACAAACACATCACATTGATCAGCAAATTTGAGCTTCTTAAACTTCTACATTAGCTAATATGAATGCTTCAGGGCAAATGGAGAATTACAGAAACTCAAGAAAAAGGGGAAAAATTAATTTTAATTACCGAATTACAGAGCAACAACGGCATTACAAATGTGTCAAAATTTAGGAAAACAGGTCAAGTAATAAAAGGCAATATGGAAAGAGTATTTTAAGCAAGTCACCTGTGTATTCGGCAGTAAAAAATAATTTCATTTATTACATTGCACATGCTCATATTTGGTTTCTTAGTTTTAAAGCATTAACTATTGAAATCTAGATGGACTACTAGTATTTCTTAAAATACTGTATGTACCTTCCATATTATTCATTGCCAGTAAAGACCATTAAACATTTTAGTTCTTGATTCACAAGCCAGTGACACCCACAGCACAGACAATGCAGTATTTCAAAGTATAAAATAAGATCATGTAGTATTAGAATCTTTATTTTAATGACCAGGTCTGAAAAGGAATAGGGAGTGGAAGATTTTTTATGTTAAGCATACCTTTTAAGTTGTAAATATGTGTCCCTCGCAATTATTGTAAACAGCAACCCTATGCTATCTATGGAAAAAACAAGGCATTTCTAACTAATTTAGAAAAATAAGGTTTATCAAATACTCAATAATTAAAGTAATGTAACTCTTATTTATTTATAAGTCTGTCTCTGTCACTTAACCCTTAATTTCTTTGAGGATATTACTTGTGTCTAATTCATCTCTGTACATGCAATACCCATTAAGGGCTACAGTAAATGAACGTTTGCTGAATAACCATTAGGTAGCCTTTTATTATTCTTGAAATCACAAAACTTTTCTGCTCCAAACTTCTTCCTGATAACAATAAGAGCTTTGGACACTAGGGAAAAAAATTTTTAAAGAAAATAGTTCCTTAAGTAACTATCAAACTAAAATCTCTCTCTGTACCTTTGTAACATCCATTTCCCGAGAGGCAAGCTGACTTTGAATTTCCTCTAGTTGATTAACAGCTGAAATCTTTTCCTTGGTAACCTTTTCCATCTGGGCCTCCAGTTGGGCAATATTCTGAGACAGGAGCAACATCTGTAAGGGAAAACAAAGGTCCTAAACAATAATGTCATTTGACAAAACAAATACTAAAACTTTCTTGAATTAATAGTGTCTCAGTATAATCATTGCCATTCTCTGTGCATTGGGTATGTTCATTTCTCTACCTCCTCTACTGACCTACACCCAGTGAATTAAAATATGTAGTTCTCTCCTACTTCTTTACTATTCAGTCCCCTGATCTCTAATCTCATTTTGAAACATGTAAAACAAGATGATAAAATCAAAGTCTGAAACCCTAAAGTGACAGATATCAAACACCCAAGGAAGTTATGGAACAGGGCACCATAAATACATTCAGAGGAGATGCAGAAGAATTAGACAACTCTTAAAGCCTTCTTCCACACGGAGAGCATAAAAGGAGTGATTGGAAGAGTGAAGAGTGAAGAAGTTATTTAGAGAGAGCAACTGATCTGCTGTGACTCCCACTACCCTTCCCCCAACACCAACAAAGAAGAGGCTCTGTGAAGTTCCCTTTGTTGGTAAAACCCCACCTATCCTTCCCCTTATCTGGTTCTCCCTCATTTCTCCGATGGGTTTCAGCTCAGCCATTATCTCCTCTCCTCCAGGAAGTCTTCCTTGACTCCAGTTCCCAGCACAAAATGGGCAGCCCCTCCCATGTTCAGGGTTGATATTCAGCTGTCCCAGTGTACACTGGGACAGTTATGCCTGTTGCTTGAAGGCTGTGTCCATTCTCACTGATTGTTTCCCATGCTGTAGTGATTAATATTTTGCATATCACTATGGCGTGTGCGCGTGAATCTCTGTGTATGTATCTCGGTCACACCCTAACCTCTGCGTGCCTCTACCACAGTACTCATCCCACTGTTCTTAGTTGTCTGTTTCCTCATTCCAGAAGTTCCTCAAGAGCATGTTCTTCCAGAGGTACCAAATGTTTGATGAATGAATAATTAATTAGAATAAATGGCTTTCTAAGGGAGTCTATGGATATTAGGTTCTCAGTTTTTCTTCTCAAGATTAGAAATACTTTCAAGATCTTAGGTTTATTCTGTATAGTTTTTGGTTTGCAATTACATTTTGTTCTGTTCCAGAAAGTCAAAATTTTCTAGGCTCTTAATTTCTTATTAGTACTGGCATTTTTTAAAACGTAAAAGCAGCAAAACATACAGGAATACCTATCAATTTTTATCTGGTAAAACAAGAACTGGTGACAGATTTTAAATAATGATGTTTAAAATTTACCATTATTGTTTGAAATTTACCGTTCTACATTGACATGGATGTGAATTCAGTTTTATAACTAAAATCAGTCACTAAAATTATATGATAAAATCAACATTGAACCAAAGGTTTAGTAAATTAAGACCCTTACATTGATACAATGAAGATAGGTGTCTGCCTAGGAACTACAGAACTAGTTAAAGTTGGCCCTATCAAAGTAATGAGCCTAGTAACTATTTTCTAATTTAGGCAGAGGTATTAATTAAGTTTTCTGAAGATAGTAAAGAATTGTATATTTGACTTGTGGTTGTTTACATGTCCCTATGATCAAAGAATTGTCTACAAATCTAATTTTCACACACAGTTAATTTTACTAACAAAAAACTACAAAGTATTCTTGGGCACATTACAATCTAAACCTAAAGTTGAAAAGGAGTTATATATGACAAATCAAAAACACCAATTTAATTTCTTAATTTAAAATTTCCAGTTCATGAGCATATATATTATGAATGTATAATTATATCTTTTCTGGAACCATACAATAGCAACGAACTGTAATTACCAGCTACTAAAAAATCATATTTTACTTATTTATGTGGACATACATAACTGATGGCAAACATCTTAACATTGTATGGTTTTTGAAATAAATATACTGACATTTATTTTGCTAATTATAAATTCTAGTCCATTTCTCTTATAAGGCATGTCACAAATCTCTTCCTTATGATTCCTCCCTCTGCCACCCATCATTTCCTTCCTTTGCCCACTACCTGTCTGCTACCTCCTGTCACCCACTTTCTGAGGTCTCCCCTCCTGTTGTCACACCTTCTTTTTCCCCACGCCCACCATCTGGAAGTCAACATTACACGGCAGGAGCTTCTCCATCCACATCTGTTGCAGAGCCAGAAGTAACAGAGACACAGCTGCAACACTGCTGGATGTCCAGGACGGTGACATCAGGTAAGTCCTTTAAACTTTGACAGGGGCAAGAAAGAGACAAGGACACCCAGGTTGGGAGAGGTTGATAGAAATTTCTGCAGAGCAGTCCCTAGTGTATTGAACACGGTATGAATCTGTACTCCCTATACAAGAGATACAAGAATTAAGGATTTTCACAATGAATACTGTCAAGGAAAGCAATCGAGAAAATGTGAGGACCTCAGGGGGTGCTCGATAAATATATGATCAATGACTGAATGAACTGACAAAGCTGAGTGCTCAGTGCAACCGAGGACCATTTTTGAAGAGAACACACAAACTCACAGCAAGTGCCAGGGGAATGATTCAAACCTGTGTAGGTAGAAGGCATCTGTTCTCCTACAGCTTCACACACAAATGGAATTTTTTTTTTAAATAAGAAAAGTCAGGGAGAAATAAAAAAAAAATACATGAAAAGAAAGAAAAGTTTCACAAGTATTCCCCCTGGTAGGAAAGCAGGAGTGCTTATTCTAGCACTAACTTTAACTACCTGGCACTTACAATGTTACGATTAATTCGTCAGTCAGTCACCCTATTAAATTACGTTCTTGCCACGCACAGTGGCTCACCCCTGTAATCCCAGCACTTTGGGAGGCCAAGGCGGGTGGATCATGAGGTCAGGAGCTCAAGACCAGCCTGGCCAACATTGTGAAACCCCATCTCTACTAAAAATACAAAAAGTAGCCAGGCGTGGTGGCGGGCACCTGTAATCCCAGCTACTCAGGAGGCTGAGGCAGGAGAATCACTTGAACCCAGGAGGTGGAGCTTGCAGTGACCTGATACCAGAGCAAAAAAGTCCATCTTAAAAAAAATTATGTTGTTGGGTCAGACAGTATGATATGTATTCTCTCTTTAAACCTGAGAGAGGCTGGGTGCCGTGGCTCACACTTGGACCCTAGCGATTTGGGAGGTTGAGGGCATGGGGACAGCCAGGAGTTCAAGACCAGCCTGGGCAATATAGTGAGACCCTGTTTCTACAACGTTTTTTTTTTTTTTACTAGCCAGGCACGATGGCACATGCCTGTGGTCCTCGCTGAGGCAAGGGAATTGCTTGAGCCAAGTAGTTTGAGGGTATGATGAACTATGATCACACCACTGCATTCCAGCCTATGTGACACAGTGAGACTCTGTCTCTAATAAATAAATAATTAAATCCCCTAGAGAAGGAATTATACTGAATTAAGTTTCATTTGAAAAAATGAGATTCAGAAAACTAACTTGTCCAAGTTCATTCAAACTAATAAATAAAAGATAAAGCTGGGCTTTACAAAAAAGTTTGTCTGCTTTTATTAACACAAAGGGCCAAGAAATCGATCCAATAAGGCTCCTTCTCTCTTTCTCTAAAACGAGAATAGCCACAAGTTACAATTTATTCAGTGCCCACAGTAAATCAGGCATTACATTAGATATTATCTAAACATTATCTCACTTAATCTTATCAATTACTTGATATATTATAAACTTTACCTCTCCGAAACTTAGAGAGGTTAAGTGAATTGTTCAAGGTCACAGAAAGGTCAAGTTGGATTCAACTCGAAATCCTTTTCCTCCAAAGCCACTTTCTGGCATTTCCTCGTGAGAGCTGGGACCTCAGGGCTACGACCACTGTCAGCTCTTTATTCATACATCTTTATTCAAAGCAGGATCTTAAGATCAAATGTGAGCAAAGGCTTACTGAAGACAAAATCAACTTAAAGACTCTAGCTTAGAAATGTATGGTACTGAACAGAGATCCAGAAATAAAGCTGCACACGTATAGCCATCTGATCTTTGACAAACTTGACAAAAATTCCCAATGGGGAAAGGATCCCCTATTCAATAACTGGTGCTGGGTAGCTGGGTAGCCATATGCAGAAGAATGAAACTGGACTCCTACCCTTCACCACATATAAAAATTAACCATGCTGGGTGTTTCCTACATGGTCTTTGGGAAAGAATTTATGACTAAGTCCTCAAAAGCAATTGCAACAAAACCCACAAACTGATGAGTGGGACCTAATTAAACTAAAGAGCTTTTGCACAGCAAAAGAAATTATCAACAGAGTAAACAGACAACCTACAGAATAGGAGAAAAAAATTTGCAAACTATGAATCAGACAAAGATCTAATATCCAGAATCTATAAAGAAAGTCAACAATTGAACAAGCCGAAAACAACCCCTTTATAAAACGAACAAAAGACATGAACAGACCCTTCTCAAAAGAAGACATACAAATGGCCAACAAACATATGAAACACTACTCAAGATCACTACTGAATGATATGGTTTGGATTTCTGTCCCCACCCAAATCTCAGAAGAAATTGTAATTCCAGTGTTGGGGGAGGGGCCTGGTGGGAGGTGATTGGAACATGGGGGCAGGTTTCTCCCTCACTCTTCTCATGATAGTGAGTTCTCAGAAGACCTGGTTGTTTAAAAGTGTGTAGCCCCTCCCCCTGCTCCCTCTTCCTCCTGCTCCAACCACAGAAGACATTCCTGCTTCCCTTCCACCATGACGGGAAGTTTCCTAAGGCCTCCCCAGCCATTCTTCCTGTACAGCCTGCAGAACTGTGAGCCAATTAAACCTCCTTTCTTTACAAATCACCAGTTTCAGGTATTTATTTATAGCAATGTGAGAACAGACTAATACAAGAATCATCACAGAAATGCAAATGAAAACCACAACGAGATGCCATTTCACACCAGTCAGAATGGCTATTAATCAAAAGTCAAAAAACAACAGATCCAGGTGAGACTGCAGAGAAAAGGACACTTCTACACTGTTGATGGAATGCACATTAGTTCAGCCACTGTGGAAAGCAGTTTGGAAATTTCTCAAATAACTTAAAACAGAACTATCATTCTACCAGCAATCCTATTATTGGGCATATATTCAAAAGAAAACAAATTGTCTAAAAAGACACATGTACTCACATGTTCACTGCACCTCTATTCACAATAGCAAAGACATGGAATCAACCTGGGTTCCCATCAGGAGTGGACTAGATGAAGAAAATGTGGTACATATACAGCACTGAATACTATGCAGCCATAAAAAAAGAATGGAATCAGGTCTTTGGCAGCAACAGGGATGCAACTGGAGGCCACAGTCCTAACTGAATTAATGCAGGAACAGAAAATCAAACACTGCATGTCCTTACTTACAAGTAGGAGCCAAGCATTAGGTACTCCTGGATATAAGATAGCAACAATAGAAACTGGGATAACTAGAGAGGGGAGGGAAGGAGGGAGGCAGGGGCTGAAAAACTAGCTCCTGGGTATACTATGCTCATGTAGTAGGTGACAAGATAATCTGTAAATCAAACCTCAGCATCATGCAATATACTCAGGTAAAAAACCTGCACATGTACTCCCTTGGATGTAAAATAAAGGTTAAAAATCAATAAATAAATGATAAATAAAAAATGTGCTGCATTTCTGTCACCACCTTTATTCATGAAACCACTGTCAATAGAAGAGAGAGGTTCTGTCACATACGAAAGCACCTGGAACACTGCCAGGTACACTTCAGCCTTCATTTTTCCTTTCTTATCAGGAATCCTCATCGCATACTTCTAAACTACTCAGCAAGGCAAATCGTTTCCAGCAAACAAACAAAAAATAAAAATTTCCTAGGTGTGAACAATAGCCGGTCTTTGCTATTGATACCATTCTCTCTCACACACAACACTCAATTCACAGCTTCATCTCCCTTCCATGTCTCATTCAGACTGGTTACAGGCAGCATTCCTTCCCCCTTAGTCCGCATTTCTAAACCCTGCCTCTTTCTTGGAAGCTCCATTAAAACACCATCTTTTTCGCAAAGCCTTCCATGATCTCTTGCAGACAAGCAGTTCTGAACCTCTGAACTCTCAGCATTGTAGTCATACCTTTCCAATTTTTCTTTTCCTTGTAATTCATTTCTTTCATTCACCAAACATATACTGAGCACATTTTATATGAGAGGAATGTGCCAGGCAATGTGGATGTACATGCAAAGGACTCATAGTGAATTAGGGAAGGCAAACTATTCAACAATAATTTGTAATAAATTGAGTTATGGGAGACCACAGGAGAGGATCCCAATTCAGCTGTAGGAGGCTCTGAGAGGAGGTGGTACCAAGAAAAACCCTGGGCCAGGTGAGGTGGCTCACGCCTATAATCCTAGCACTTTGAGTGGCCAAGGAGAGTGGACCGCTTGAGCCTAGGAGTTCAAGATCGGCCTGGGCAACATGGCAAAAATTTGTCTCTACAAAAAAATACAAAAAATTAGTGGGGCATGGTGGCACACTCCTGTAGTCCCAGCTATCTGGGAGGCTGAGGTAGGAGAATTACCTGAGCCTGAGAGGTCGAGGCTGAGTGAACCACGACCACCCCACTTCACTCCAGCCTGGGTGACAGTGAGACCCTGTCTCAAAAACAAACAAACAAACAAATGACTCTGAAGAATCCATTAAAGAGGGCAGAGGAAGATTCCTCTAGGCAGGGGGCAAAGCACATGCAGAATCCTGCACTGAAAAATAAACAGTATGGAAGATGGGCATATTTTCATGATTGGGGCAGTACAAGCAGGCCAGTCAGTGTGGTGAGGGTGCAAAGAAGAAAAATGAAGGAAGACAAGACTGGAGAGCCAAAGAGAGAAAGAATATTGTGGAATCATTATGCTGTGCTAAAGGATCCTAAATCCAGGGTCGCAGGGAGACATGAAAGAATTAAGAGACTGACGTATTGAGATGTTCACATGAGAAGGATCATCCCAGCTGCGGTTTGGAGAACAGAGAGGAAGGTGAGACTGGAGGTGAGGACACCACAGGGGCTACAGGAACCACCCAAGGATGAGATATGGGGAGCAGCAGGATGCAGAGACGGGACAATGTAAACGCTTACGGTCTTCAGTCTTAGAACCTGGTGATGATAAGATGTGTGGCGTGAGAAAGAGCAGGGAGAAAAGGGTGGCAAGATTTCTGTGCTGGGTAACTGAATGAATAGTGGGTCTACTGGGATAGGGAAGGTGGAAAGTAAAGCTGGTTTCAGAGCTCAGTATGCAGTTAAAGATTTAGAAATCAAATAGCTGTAGTCCTGAAGCTTTACTTCCTAAAGCTATATATATATATATATATATGGAATTCAAGCCACAGTGCTGCTAAAGACACCTAAATCTTTAGCTCCCTGCTAAACTCTACGTCCTTCTATGAAGCTGCTTTCTGGATGGTCTCCTTCTTTGCCTCAAAGCACTTTAAACTCAGAGTAATGTAAAAGACATACATCACCGTTCTCCCAAACCGAGAATATGAATTGAGAGAAACCAAGGAAAAAGCACCTTTTAAGGAAAGTAAGACTACAAAAAAAGATCAGCAAATACAGCACAAGCAGCTCTTTAGTGAACACAGCAATGGTAATTTCATTGGCTGTCGCACAGAGGTTGAAATGCAGTGGGCTGAAGAGTGAAAGGTGACAAAATAAAGACAACATGTATGGACAAATCCTTCAAGAAACTTGACCACTAAGAGAAAGAGTTAAAGAGGGAGATGGAATCACTGAAGTGGCTTCCAACCTTGGCTGCCCATTGGAATCATCTGGGTAGCTTTCACCATCCCGACACCTGGATGCTACTCAGACGTTTTGATGTCATTGGTTTGGGGTACTGTTTAGACAATCGGATTTTTAGAACTTCTTGTGTAGCAAAACACAGATGAGAAGATTGTTTCGTTCAACAGTAAGAGACATTTGAAAGTATTTTCCTGATGATAAGAAAGAGACTGTAGTGAAGGAAAGATTAATTCAGAAAAGCGGAGTGGATAAATGGAATGAGCTCCTTGAAAGGGTGAAAGAGGTTGGGACCCACGGGAAGGGGAAAGGATCAGGAAGAACTCTTTCCCATTCAGACTGGGTTGGAATACAGGTGAAAATGTATTTTAAGGCATGGGGAAGATAAATAGTTGAGGTGGTTAACACCTAATGACTTCAATTTTCTTTGTTAAGTAAGTAAGGCTCTCTGCCGAGAATAAGGGGGAAAGCTGTATTGCAGAGAATTTGAGAAAAAGTGATTTGAAATAGTCCTTAAAGAAATGCTTTCAAGATACCATCACTTCCTACCCGGACTACGATCATCACCTCCCAGCTGATCTCCAGGCACCTATTCTGTTTCTCCTTCCAAGCGATTGACAAAATGATTCTTCTCAAACATAAATGGCATCGTGACACTGACCAATTTAAAGTCATTCAATGGCTCTCCATCACTTTTTGGACAAAATTTTAAATCTTTCATACGGATTTTAAAGCCATTCATGATTCTGCCCCAGCATAATTCTGCAAACTCATTCCCACTACTCTGTCCCTCTCTCTCTGCTCCAGCCATCAGGGCCTTCTCCAAATGCCTAGAAAGTGCAATGCTTTCCAGGTCCCGAGTCTTGGGTGTGTTATTTTCCTGGGCCTGAAACCCTCTTCCCCTTTTCACCTGACCACTCATCAATACTTTCAGGTCTCATTTTCAAAATCTCTGTCTCAGGAAAGTGTTTCGTGACTGCCTAGACTAGGTCAGATCCCCCCGTTACACATTCCCACAGTACCCTGAACGGAACTTTACGGCTTTATCACAATGATGATAAAAGCTCACTTGTGAAAATATTTCTGTACCGTCTACTTCTCCTGACAGTTCGTAGGCTTTGTGAGGAAACTGCATTGTTCCTGTGACTACGACACTCCCAGCTCCTTCGGTTAGTATCTGGTGATTGTGGAATGAAGGAGAGAGAGGAAAGCGTGAAAGGACCGCTAGAAAGCACTGAGAGAGCTGTGGACGCTGAAGACCTGGGGGGTACAGCTGTGTCAGCTGCAAGGCCGTGGGATTTCTACCAGCTGAGGTCACCAATCCAAAGCAGAGACGGCAGATAGTAGGGTTTTGACAGACGCAGTTTTCAAAAATGGTAAGAAGACAAGGAGGTTTACAGGAAATGCCTCAGTTTACTCAAAAGACTGAAAACTCACTGGGCAGAAGGGGCGATTTTTCTCTTTCCATATCTTTAGGCCTGCACAATGCTTTGTATGCAGCACATATACTCAGTATACGTTCACCGAATGAGTTAATTATCACACATTGGAATCTTATGACAACATAGCATTTAGAGTACAAGCTGTGAGTCCACTTTTAAAAACAAACATGTAACACAGTTGTTTTGGTTACTCGATCGACCACAACTTGCTCAATTCTAGTCTAGTTAGCAAGTTTAAAGCTAGGTCCCACTCAACTCTGTATTCTAGTTTGTGAACTCTTTTTCAAAGGCTGCTCATTTCACGTTATCTGTTCCTTTTGCCTTCAGTCTCTCCCTTCATCTGGTTACCTTCATTATCGACCACGTAACTTGTCAGAACTGATTTCATACAGAGTCTATAATCACTTTTTCTTGGTTACTCAGTTTCTTACAAGTGTTTTATCTTCTGCAGTTTAAGTTAGGGCTAGGAGATTAAGCAGGGGAGTCACCTCTCCTTGATTTAGCCAAGGCTGAAATACAAGCTGAGTAACTTCATAGCACTCCTCTGGGAAACATGAGAGAGAAAAGAATCAAACAGAATGGCAGGATTTAAAGTAAATTTTATAATTTCATAGTATGGAATCTAATTGATTATTTTATTTGAAAAGGTCAGAATAAATGAATAAGTATATGAAAAGATAGCATTTTTATGAACTCTTAATTATAAGAAATTTAACTACTTATACAATAACAATTTTAAAATTTAAAGTTCATTCAAGAACTCCAGCCTACGGAATCATCCATGGCATCATAAGAAACATTTCTTCTGCAATGTGGATAATATCGGAGACCTTAAGTACCTTTGATCCCATGTCCTCCCTTTCTTTTGTGATTTCCTTTTTCATCATATCTTTCTCAATGGCCCTTTTCTCTTGCTGAGAGGCAAGTTCTTTTTCAAGTCGCTCTGCCTGCCTCTCCAGCTCGTTCCTCAACTGGTCACACTGGATTAAAGCCTGCTAGGATATAAAAGGTTGAAAGAGGAGTTGAAAATTTAAAAACAGTAAGGAGAAAATGAGATAATTAAGCCTTAACTGTATTTAAAATAGTTAAAATTCACTATAAAGCCCATTAGAATAACTTCGTATTTGTTTGTCAATACTACTTATTAACCTAAAAGAGTATCCAGATGTTACATTTATTGACATATTTCAATTTCCATGATTAAAGCCCTATTAATTAATGACAAAATTCAGGTAATGAACCTTGATGAGGGCCACAGATGAGTCGGAATTTTGAAAAAGGGAACCAGAAAAACCAGGTGCTCTAATATATTCAATTATATATCATGTTTATACTACATGAAATACATAAATATCCAATTTAACTGATTTCTTATTTGCTCATGGATAAAATTTATTGAAATACTTCAAATGATAGGTTGATCCAAATAGTAAAATGAAATGTTGACTGTAACATTACACACAGGCATCTTTTGTTTACTACTATACAGTAATCAAGTTTCCTTAAATATCACCGAGGCAAAATTTAGTTCACTTCCCTTAAACATACAAATAAAGTAAAAATTATGTAACAATCATAAGTTAAATGGAAAGACTCAAAATAGTATTCACTACTTAGTTTTATGAGGATCCTTCATTTCTGGTGAAGTTCATTAATTGTCCTTTATTCTAAATTTCCGACTTGTATTTCCAGAAATAAAAACACCCTAACTTCATTTTGGCCACTTTCACAATACCTTTATGTATAATACCAGATAATAAAATATGACTTCAAATCCCAATTTTGGGAAGCTTTTTTTTTTTTTTGTATAAATGTATGCGGTACAAGTGTAATTTAGTTACATGCATAGATTGTAGAATAAAATCCCAATTTTTAAAAATCCTCATAAAAATAAGGTACTATAGTATCTTATAGTCTTATTCCAGTGGGCCTTATGTACAATATCCATCTCACCCAATCTCTCTTTTCTCCTGAATTGGAAGAAAGAACCCCAGGTCTCATATGACTTACATGCTGTGTGATTATAAATTTCACAGTCACATTTGATTTTAATGGAGACAGAAATGGCCTCAGTAAGCACTGTAAGTTTTATGCACAGTTATGCTTCCCTCTGGTGAACGCTATAATAAATACAGACAACAAATATCTAGGATATGTGAATTTCCCTCTCTTTATCGGAAAGCATTAAACTCCAATTTCTTTTGGTATCTTCTGAAAAGTTTCTATTCTTCTAGGCATAAAATATAAAGGTAAAATTCAATTGTCTCAGATTAACTAATAAACAAATTTCCTGTGGTATCTTCTGAAAAGTTTCCAAATTCTTTTGGTATCTTCTGAAAAGTTTCTATTCTCCCAGGCATAAAATATAAAGGTAAAATTCAATTGTCTCAGATTAACTAATAAACAAATACAACGACTAAAAATGATTCTCCTAGGGAGATGGTCCCAAGTCCAAATTCTAGCTGAGAATGCCTGGAAAAGGAAATTTTAAATTTGATTTTCAAATAAATGAAAAAGCATACTTTTACTTTAAGGCCTGACAGCTTGAAATAGGAATTAGTTACTCTTTCTGATTCACAGTGTAATTGCTCTTGTGAAAAATATTTCACGTGAGCACAGTAAATGCTCATAATTTTCCCTCATATAATGAATACTACTGGTATGAATAGATAAAATGATCACTTAATATAAACCAATATATCTGGTCAGAAAGTTTTTCATTAAACAAAAACTCATCGAGATAGGATGATACAGAGAAAAGCACAAAGTGAGAAGCTGTAAAATCATGTAAACAAAACTACTGCTGAAGCCTTGGTTTTGTGGATGGTCTTCCGTCTATTAGGACTCGCCACCACCCATGGGTGATGATGAGTAATGAGCAACAGAACACTGAATGCAAAAAAACTGGTCATTGGCCAGGCACAGTGGCTCATGCCTGTAATCGCAGCACTGTGGAAGGCTGAGGCGGGTGGACTGCTTAAGGTCAGGAGCTGGAGACCAGCCTGCCAACACGGTGAAACCCTGTCTCTACTAAAATACAAAAATTAGCTGAGTGTGATGGTGGGTGCCTGTAATCTCAGCTACTTCGGAGGCTGAGGCAGGAGAATTGCTTGAACCCAGGAGGCTGAGGTTGCAGTGAGCCAAGATGGTGCCACTGCACTCCAGCCAGGCCAACAGAGCAAGACTCCATCCCAAGAAAACCAAAAACCGAACCAAAACAAAACAAAAACTGGTTCTTGATGTCGCTTAGTGTGTAACCAATGATTTCATACTATAAAATAGCCTTTACTTTTATTTGCTTTGATTTTTGACATATACGCCTGGCCACAATGAAGAAAATAGAAAAGCACAGTAACACTTGGAATCAAAAAAATGATTTAATCTTTATAAAGATAACTCTCTTACAATGGACCCCACATACTAAAAGATTTTGGTCTACTAAACAAATATTTATACAGTGTCTCCATTAAAGCTCTCTCTTAATTCTAGAGTTTCTTCTCCTGGTTTCCAGAACCCTTGTCCATTGAGTACCCCACTAACCATTCAGTAAGGACATAATGACCGACTTCTCAAAGGCTAGGTCAGTAAACAGTCAACTACCACCAAACGAAAGATTTTTTTTTTTTTTCTTTCTGAGACAATCTCGCTCTGCTGCCCAGGCTGGAATGCAGTGGCTCCATCTCAGCTCACTGCAACCTCTGCCTCCTGGGCTCAAGCAATTCTCCTGCCTTAGCCCCCTAAGTAGCTAGGAGTACATGTGCCTCCCACCATGCCCAGCTAATTTTTGTATTTTTAGTAGAGACAGGGTTTCACCATATTGATCAGGCTGGACTCGAACTCCTGACCTCAGGTGATCCACCCACCTCAGCCTCCCAAAGTGCTGGGCCTCCCAAAGTGCTCGGATTATAGGCGCGAGCCACCGTGCCCAGCAGATAGATCTTTATAGTAACTGAATTCTCAAAGCCTGTGTCAGTAAACTGTTGATTACCATTAAATGATAGATCTTTATAGGTGACAAAGTTCATTTGAGGTCTGTGGCTGTTATTTCTCTCAGTAGTCCCCAAGTCCTGGCTTCTCTCCCTTTGCCTGAGCACAGCCCCTTCCTAGGTGGAAATGGCTGCAGGTTTTGAGAAGTTAGGGAATTATACATTCCCCTCACCCAGCAGATTCATTCCTCAAGGAACCTTTTCTTTTCTGGGAAATTTCTTTATGTGTGGTCATTCTATGTTGACATATTAACACTTTTTTTCAAACACAGTTTATTGGACTTGATATTCCCAGTCGTCCTGGTTTTATTTATTTATTTTGAGATGGAGTCTCTCTCTTGTTGCCCAGGCTGGAGTGCAATGGCACAATCTCGGCTCACTGCAACCTCCATCTCCCGGGTTCCAGCGATTCTCCTGCCTCAGCCACCGGAGTAGCTGGGACTACAGGCGCCCGCCACCTCGCCTGACTACTTTTTATATTTTTAGTAGAGATGGAGTTTCGCCATGTTGGCCAAGCTGGTCTCAAACTTCTGACCTTGTGATCTGCCCACCTCGGTCTTCCAAAGTGCTAGGATTACAGGCGTGAGCCACCGCACACAGCCAGTCCTGGTTTTATTAAACCAAAGGGTAGACACTACTATCTTAAGCAGTCAAAATATTTTCCAAAACAAAATTTATATCTAGTCAACTAAAATTTTAAAACAGGAAACCTACTGTAGATGATATAAGAGTCCTTCCCAACTGCTGGGGTTAGTTTTTAAGGAATCCTTGTAACAAAATAATTCATAAATAACTAAGGAATTAAGATCTTATGAAAAATATACAGCTCACACTTAATGAACATGAACTTTAAAAGCATACATTTTTATTTTTATGTAATAATAAGCCCCACAAAATTAAAAAGATTAACACATTTTAAGCATCTAATTTATGACTAATGCAAACTATTGATTTTAATTTATAAACCCTTGCTAACCAGAAACTTACTAGTCTATCCCTATGTACAATTTTCAAGACACTTATACTTTGTTTTGTGACAGATAATGTGCATATCAAGGAGCATTATTTCCTATACTTGTGGCTACAACCAAATACTCAAAACTTTTCTGATTTTCTTTTTAATCCAGGCTTCTAATTCCTGCCTTTCTGACTCCCTGTAATCCAAGAAACAGAATAATACGGATATTTGAAAAAGGGGAAAAACGTGTTTGTAAATATTTGTTCAATCTATCTATCAGGTTGCTGTTTAAAAAATTAATCTTCAAAATATCACATGTAACCCATAAATACGTACAATTATTATGTACACATAATAATTAATTTTTTTTAAGCGCACACTACTTACCCATGAAGGTATATAGCAGGATAGGTCTTAGTAAATTTGAAATAAATACTTTGCTCAATTTGTTATGAGTAAAAAAAAAAACACATTTTTTTCCTTAGAGGGTTATGTCATCACAGATATGCTTACGGTAACTTCATGCCAAAGCCTGTGCCTTCAGGCCTTTCCATATACCTCTCAACAATTTCCCTTCCAACATACGTAGGCAGGCCAAAGGCCTAGTTTACCTTTTCATCTGCTTCTCCTGGCTTGCCTCACACAGGTGTCACCGCAAAAGCCTCTACTTTTTCTCACCATTTAGTCCCAGGTGAATTTTTTTCCTCTTTTAAAATTATCACCGATTGAAATAACTTGCACTTTCAAACAAAAACATGTATTGAGCACCAACTATGTGCCAGATACATTGCTAAGTGGCATATATGGATTATTCAACTCTCTCAATACATTTTAATTGGTTCTTATCACTCAATTGACGAAACTGGTACTTTGAGACATTCAGTAACTTGCCCAAATCAGAGACCTAGAAAATGGAAGAGTAGGAAGTCTATCCAAGGTAGTTCCATACAAGAATCTATGCGTGACATTGTACACTTCTCAAGTTATATATTTATTTTCTTATAAAATCCTGAGGCATTTTCACTGCCGCTGTGAATGTAAATATGTA